CCCCCCCCTCCCCACCCGTCGACAACTTTTTAGGGAAAAAAATTTTCCGGACGAGAACATTGCAAATGCTTTCCAGTGACTTTACCTCAATTTTAATTATTACCCAAATAAAGAGCCCTTTGCACGAAAATATTTAACCCAAATGGGTCGTTCCAGAAAAGATCCATACCCCCCCCACGGAGGAAATCGGAAAAAAAACCCTCCCCCCCTTCGGACATCCTTGAATGGTTCATCCTCCCCCCCTCTCCGGATGTCCAAGCCCAAAATTACCCCCCTCCCCTTCGGACATCCACTATTTCTAATTTTTTTTAAAAGCTACGACGCCAAAAAAAATTAGACTACGTTGACACTACGCCGAAGAATACCGACAGAATTTACGTGTATTCACATTACGCCATTTACAGTTTGTTTACAAAATAAATTAGTACTCATGTAAACCAAAAATATTTCAAATTGAGCCAAGAAATTTAACTGAAAAGCATTCAAGTTTTTGCAAGCAGTACACTAGTAACGGCGCTTGTGTTCACACGAAGCTGTTAAAACGGAGGTTTTCATCTCGCTCCGTTTAGAAACCGTGCTCAAATTGTTACGGCAAAAGTGACATTTTCAGTTTCCAAACGATTTCGCTCCAGCGTAGTGTGAAAGCGATATAGCTACTTGGGACTTTTCTACGCAGTTTTCAAATCGCTCCGGCGTGACGGAGCGCTTGGCGGCTTCTTGTGAACACAAACACCATTGCTTTTTTTTACCGCTTGTAAACCAAACGTCTTGGGTCTCAAAACAGTAAATTCGAATTCTTTTTGTTAAAAATTTATCTCACACTATCCAACAGGGCGAATAATTCCTTCTAATAGTCCTGCCATGATGCAAATACTATACAAGTGAGTTTTCTCTTTCTCATACATGACATGTATAATATCTTCATCTTCATCGTATGATTGCACTTCTCCCAAATACCAACCACTTTCCCAGTTCGTTCCAGTTAATTCTGCATCCGACCAATACACTTCCACTTGTGTTCCAATGTTTGTTAGCAACTGTTTGACTTTGGCAAATTCGTCTGTTGTTTTACCTGTAGCAGAAGCTAGCCTGACAGATTTTCGAACTGATAATTTATCGGACTTTCCTTTAGTGTTGTTTTTTTCCTTAGGCAAACTCGTTTGTTTGTTTACATATGGTTTGTCATCAGTGCCTAGTTTGTGTGCAACTGTTGCTGCCTCTTCTTCACTCTTCACGGCTTGTTTTAAAGGCTGAAGGGTTGCTTCAAATTCCTTCTTTATACATTCACTGTTTTGGGCAGATGAACTAATTCGTGTTTGATAAATAGACAATAAAGGTTTGTCTCTCGTTCGGTAGTGGGATTCGTTGCATCTTGAATATTCTCGGACACGACAGACTCGTTCAGTTGATAACGTTTTGGTAACGGTAAATAGTTCTTCAGCAAATGATATTGCCTGAATAATAGAAATTCGTTCCCGTGAGAAAACTGCCTTTTCCCTACCACCTTTGAGTAGCCCAACTCGAAGAACAAGCTCCTCTTTCACTCCATCCTCGAGAATTCCGTGGTGTCTTAAAATTTCTCTTAACTGAGCCACATTTAATCGATTGAGACCAGCAATGTTACCAGGAACTGACATCAAATCACCGTCATACAATAATGGGTTGTCGTCAAGCTCTTCAGAAGGATAAACCAGTGAAAGACGCCTCACCATATTTACCTTATTTCCAGTCGAGTCTAGTTTTTTCTCAACGCACTTTGACATCAGTTCTTCTTTGCTTAACTTATACAGGGAATGTTTTCTCCATTTCTCCTTTTCAATATCGTCTACTTTCGTCTTCATTAAACTTTGGTGTTTCTCCGAGTAGAATCGTTGAACGTCTTTCTCAGAGACCCACGCCAGTAAAGAAATTGCACTAATCATATCGGATGCAGGATTTGGGAAAGCTCTAAAACAAGCTTTCAGTATGCGTTCAGGTACGAAAAGCTCAGGACAGTTGTCCCAAGGACCATGCAGAAGATTGCGACGTTGCTCATATGACAAGTAATGATATTCTCCAGATATAATCCACCTATGATAGTCTGGAATCGGTTGACGCTCATACCTTGGTTATGTAGTTCCTGTCCAGTTTTCGTCATCCCTATATACGGTTGTCGAGTATTTATCGCAATAAGCATATTCTTGTAAGGTTTTATAATCAGATGAATAACTGCCAACAAAACCTTTGTTAACCCCCCATACATTTTCTAAATAGCTCATGATAGCGTTATTGACTGGAGCATAGGTTACATCATAAGTTTGTTTGCGGTAATCGGACAATGCAGCAAACGTCTTAAGGACATCTTCGTCGTCGAAAAGCATTTGATCAGCAATGCCTCTAAAGCACAGTAGAGGCCTTTGACCAAACGATCCTTTGTTTAAACAGCTAACTACGCCTTGTGCCATTTTTTCCATGTTCTCTTTGTGCTTTTCGCTACCAGTATCACATACACTATGAACCTGTTTTGAGTTAAAAGGACCGTGAGCCGATAAAAGGTTATTCTCCACGGCATGTACTCGTTCTACATAATTTCTCTTGCTAAGATACTCGGCAAAAGAAATTTGAGTAACCCTGTCGACGTTTAAAAGATTTCTGAGGCGAACGAGAAGCAACTTTACTAAGAGATTTGACGGAGCTTCTGATGGTCCATTGTCAACAACGAAACTTATAACTTCCTTTAACTTTCCTGTTTTAGGATTACGAAAATAAGCATCCAATGAAGGTAAGGAAAGAAGATAGAAAAATTCATTAAAGACTCGGAACACAGTTTCTGGCTCGAAGAATGAAATATTTATTAGCGTAATGGCCTGTCCAGTTCTTGTTAGATGTATTGTACTCTCAGTGCAAGGTACCGGACAATGGACATCATCATTTGTAGTAATTTGTTGACTGACTTTTGTTTCCATGAGAAGGTGGGAAATTGGCGTAACAGCATTTTTTCGTGACTGATCAAATGTATGATCAGGGGTCTCAAAAGTCTGCCAAGACTTTCCTGGTCTCAACACCAAATCAATGTCTCCGCACACAACACATTTTGCATCTTTAGAATCCACAAGATGAGAGTCGGGGTTTTCAGCACTTAAATCGACTAAATAATTTACATTAGCAGTAGACCAGTGCGCGTTTATAGGGTGTTTAATCTCAGCCGTATTTGGCGGCTTGTGTAAAGATATATTAGCTGTTATACCTCTGACGTGATGATGTGCTTTGGCTTGATGAGTACCTTTCACATTTGGGTTTAAAGCAGAAATAAAGTCTTTAGCTTGTTTCATCGACGTTGCATTGTCCAGTGCTTTATATAAAGTAGTATCCAGTAGTTTTGGATGTGCTTCCAATCCCCCGCCACTTCTGTGAATTCTGTCACCCTCACCGAATACATACTCTAAACAAATGGGTAGCTCTGGAAATTCCTCACACTTTAGGCGTCGTCCGCTACCTTTAGCTATGTTTCTTATTTGTATGTGCTTCATTTCTTGGCGTTTGCGCAGTGAAAAGGCATACTGCTGAAATGTAGTCATGTCGTTTCTTACCACTAATGACTCTTTTTCTATGTTTTTAAACTTTTCTAGTATTTCTTCATGTTTGTTTAAGTTGTTTCTGACTGATATTTTAGATTGACACCCTTTAAGTCTAACAACGCAATTGATACTTGTGATATATCCGAGCAATAATTGCTTCTAACATATCTCTGTCTCTTTTTGTGTCAAAATAACGTAAAACTGTAGCAAAATCAGCTTTCAAGGCTTCTGCGATGCTCTTAGTGTTGGTCATTGCCGATTGACTATAGTTTTGAATCATACCGTTAACATGATCAACTATGTTTTGAATATTTTCACCGTTATTTTCAATTATATATCCAGTTTGTTCTATGTATATCTGAGAAATGTTCAGGTTTTTTGCAAGGGTTTCGTAAGCATCGACCGATCTGTAGTAGTCTTTGTATAATTTACCATTGGTTATTTTAACTGATTGTAGAATACGGTAGGCGTCTGATGTTTTTAACAACGTGCACTTTATCAGTTCTTCAGCAACATCTATGCAAGCTTTAAGATGGACTGCGCGTGCCGGATAGCATAAACTATTCGGCCCCTGTAGCTGTTCCCTTAATTCTCTTATATTTTTTGCCAAAGTGCCGGTTGTACAAGATCGATGAACCCCTACATTTCCCTTCTCGTTTTTTTGAACAGGGAATTTAATTCTCAGTTCCGAACTTTTCTCATTATGCCGTGAGAGATATCCTTGCTTTTGATAAAACGTTTGTGATGCTGCTGGAAATGGTAAGCTTTTCCTTTTCTTTAGTTCATTATCTGCCAAGTACGAAGAAACTTTAGGTTGGTTAAGTTTTGAAGACATGTATATGATTTTTTGTTCACTTGTAAAAGCTGTTTCACATGTATCTTTGATACAATTACCCTTTTCAGATGTAGTTAAATTTTGCTGTGGAAAACGTCTAGGTAAAGGAATTCTCGTGGACACACAGCCAACTTCTTTATTTATATCAGCAGTTTCGTCTGTATCTTTGATAGAATTCTCCTCTCCAGGAACAGTTAAATTTTGATGTGAACGAATGGTAGGCAGATAAATTTTCGTGAACATACGCCCGACTTCTTCTGTTTCATTAGCAGTTTCATCTGCATCTGCGCATTTTGTTTTTTATAAAATGTTTGTGATGCTGCTGGAAATGGTAGCCTTTCCTTTTTTTTCAGCGCATTTAGTACAAAGTCTGAAAACCTAATACATTGGATTTCCTGTTCACTTGTATCAGAAGTCTCATTTACATTTACGTTCATAACTCTCAGTCCAGGATTATCAATATTTTCGAAATCTGTATTCCGTGCACTTGGGATTCTTTCCAGAGATTCCTCCTTGTGGATATTTTGTTTATTTCCCACATTTTCTTTGTTTGATGCCCCGATTTTTTCACAACAGGGTTTTAACTTCATCTTTTCAGCAGACTTCCATTGCATATTTTCATACTCCCCTTCATATTCATCACGTAAATCAGTTTCTTTATCTTCAACTAAAACATGCCACCGATTATCAGTTGTTGGTTGGCTTGTGGCTCTTCGTTTCGAATCAGAGAGTAGGATGCAATCAGGACTGTCATTATGTGAATGACAGATCAGGTTTGAACCACGCCTCTTTCTCTTGCACGAATAAATGTTCCACCTATCTTTACTCCTCACTGATTCTGTGTCAGACTTCATGTGCGAAGGAAGACTAATCAGAGGCACAAAGTGATTTACGCAGAAGGTTTTGGATCTATCTGGCCATCCTTGTATGTTTGACCACATAATAAAAACATCTAGAGACGACTGGCACTTGAATGACGTTAGTCTTGGTTGAACGGTTGTTTGTAAGATAGGAAGAAATTGTGACCTCTGATCCGGATACACAGTTTTGATGTCTCTTTGAATTACACTTGCAAGACCCATGATTTGAAGCAAACCTGAATATTGATAATTTACTGCAGTCAACATTTCATCTTCCTCTCACATCATTTATACCCCATAAAACATCATCTGGGGTGTCCGAACCAGTGACTGGTCCTAACATAGAAAGGAGACGATTCACCCGCCGTATTTGTTTTGAAAACTTTGGTATATGGGGAAAACAAATTGTTTTTGACATTCTCATCAGAAAGAATGGCTACTTGTGCTGTTTTCATCATTTGAATAGAACAACACCCATCTTCAATTCGGATATTAACTCAATTCAATCCGCCAATATTAATTTCCGACATATATGATGGGAAGATTAAATATGAAAGAACTCTGCGAGTATTTGCAGTGGAAATACGAAAATACCACCAAAAAATTCTGCTTGATCGAAACTATATATTCCGAAATATTCGTATAATTTTATTGTTTCTCGCTCAATTTCAAGCAAATTTCTTACCTTGAAATGATCAATGCGGTGAAATTTATGCAAATGACACATTACCAATTTTGCTGCTGCATTTTGAATGTCCTGCCTGATTCAAATGCCTGTGTCTTTGCTTCTTTTCGTTGTATAATAAAGACAAATATACCGAAAAAATGGCCAACTTTCATTCTATAGCTCGGAGCAGTCTCGGGAAATTGCAAAATAATCTATGCCTATTATGGTGATTCTCGTGGTCGGAAAGTGTTCGGCCAACTTCGGATGCCAAATTCTTGGTAAAGCATTGCAGTTTCCTGGTAAAAGACTGCAGAAATCACTTCCGGAGTGTTTGTTTACTCTAGATACGGATTTTGATTGGCTTAGGCAGAAAAAACCTTTTAGAGCAATTTTCCTGATTATAGTCCAGTCAATCTGTGACCAGAGGTCAAAGAAATTGCAATAGAATATTGTTCAGTGGTACAATGTGAGGGAAGGTGTCCTGATTAACATACTAAAAATCCCTTCAGTGGAAAATGGTAAAAATCGAATTTTTCTTACTTCTACCTATAGAAAACCATTGTGGACAGAATGTTCAAATTTTGAAATACTTTTAGGCAAATGTAACCCGTTATTGGAAAGCTTAGAAGAAACTAAAATATAGATCATTAAATGGTTATATTCAATTTACTGGTCAGTTTGTCGTTATTCTAGCTCAAAGTTGGAAAAATAGTGCACAATTTGCACAAAATACAAATTTATGGCATTTTAAATCTTGTATAGCTTCGGCTGGATAGGCAAAAGCAGGATAATCGTTTAATGATTTATATTTTAGTTTTTTCTAAGCTTTCCAATAATGTAGGTTACATTTGCCTAAAAATGATTTCAAAATTTCAACATTCTGTCCACAATGGTTTTCTATAGGTAGAAGTAAGAAAAACTCGATTTTCACCATGTTCCATCGAAGGGATTTTTTTTTATTTTTAGTAGAAAAAAAATTTTTGTTTATCAGAACAACTTTTCTCACACTTTACCACTGAAAACAAATCTATTGCAATTACTTTGATCAGGACATGTACTTATAGTGATTTGACTGGACTATTATCGCGCACGAGCATTGTAATGTATTGTGTTGTAATTGTATTGTTTGAATCGCATCCTCAAGACGATCTTGGCCTTATTTTGCAAACTGATAGTGCTAGTAATGACGGAATGTCTTCGTACGAAGACACGTATCTCAACCTGGCATTGGGAGTCGTGTCTGGAGTTTCAAGGCAAGTATTTTGATCATTTTTAGACATGCCATTTCAATGTTTTGCCATTGCCATGGCATTGTAAATTGATTTGCATCTAGTATAGCTTCACTAGAACGACCAAGTATGTCCTCATATCGCATTTTTGTGTTGAAATAATCCTTCCATACAGACATTGACAAATATAAATGGTATTTATTTATATTGTTGTCGAAAAGTTATGGTGTTTTAGGCATAAAGAACTCTGATTCCTAGGCAAAGTAAAATGAGCCTTGAGCACATGTTTGGTTGTTTGTTACATACATAATAGACCAAGTATTCATACCTATATCTTACTAGCTTGGCTCTTATTATAATTTTAAGTGGCACCATATAGATTATGTCTATAAAAAGTTTATTTGCAGTGATGAAGATATTAACCCTGTTCCTAGCTGCTGTTCCTGTTTCATAGCCTCAGGGAAGTAGTAGTTCTGAAGTTCTGAGAGTCGTGAGAACCCGACTCCCTAACCCCCATTAGGAAAACGTGTAAGTGTAGAGGGAAGGTAGGGGATGAGTAGAGGTAAGCCCAGCCACTAGGACCCAAGGTTTTGAAAGCTCCCTGTCTAGCACCCCCACTAGCCCCATAGTACATGACAGATATGGTGTTCCGGCACTAGGAATATTATCCCAGATTTTGCCCCTCACTGACATGTCCAGGATCCATTTCCATCAAGCTTTCACCAGAAGTATGAACTGTGAGCTTGAGTTCATTCGGCTCTTTTTTACTAAGGGAATGCTTCAGGAGGTAGTTTCCTGGCCATACCAAAACATACGCCCACATACAAATAACCCAATAATTATCCCCATATACTAATAAAGAAGGGTCTTGGAGTCCACCAACCTTGACGAGATTGAGAGGTTGATTGCCTTTTTAGTATATGCAGGTTTGGTAAAGGTCGACAGTAAGATTGAAAATTATTGGAATGTAAAAACCTTATATCATGGTCTGTGGGCAATAGAAATAATTTCTCGGTTTAGGTACAAAGCGCTGTAAAGCAAAGTTTCTGAATATGGTAGATCCTGTCACTGAAGACTACAGCAATAAACTACATCAACAACTGTACCAGCCATCACAGAAAATTGCTGTTGACGAACACACTGTCAAGTCAAGGAATCGAATAGGTTGGGGATTAGACAGTTCATGAAAGATGGCCTACTATGTGGGAGATAAACCCTGTGAGTTGCTGGAGACAGTCCCAATGGTTATATTGCAACTTTAAGATTTATACAGGAACAAGTCCAGAGATTCATCGTAGGATGGGTTTGGGTATGATATGGTGATGTGATACAAGTTTGGTTACAATCTTAGGTCTTTTCCAATATATATTTTGTGCAAAAAAGGAAATATTTTCACCACATAACCCAATTATGTGCCAAGTGGCAAACACTACTGCCTTGGAAAGCATTACTTTTTTATAACTACTAATGATGACACCAGCCCAACAACACTTGGTCATGCTATATGCAAATATTTTCATGTTCTAGATTGTGAAAACAATCAATTTCTAAAGAAATGAGTAATGATTATTTAAAATTTAAATAGCATGACCAAATGTTCAGGCTGGTTATGCCACTGATAACTATAAGTCAATGGTGTGCTGATTATCTAAGAATGTATATAGTAACCGTAGAAATAAAAAACATTTTGCAAATAGTGATTTGAGTGTTCTTTTGTGGGTATCACAGACTTATTTTGGTGCCATACTATACTTGGAGTGAAAGAAATATTAGAAATTTGTATTGATAGTATGTTGCAGCAATGAAAAAGGACCTTTGATAAGGGTATTTGTTTCAGGTGAGCACAAAATGTAAATTTTACTCAACTACATAGTTTATTCAAAAATTCAATAAAAATACTTCCATTTATGCTACATGCATGAAACTTTAGGTACTTGTAGATCACAACCATGTCTTTCAGTTACATTCATAACATTTTTGACATATTTGAAATTTGAACTGGTAGATACATTTACGCATAATTGCAACATTTTTTATATCATAATTTATGCAAATTTATGTGAGTAAATCGTTAACCAAACTCCACATGAAATTGAAATTGGTATCGTTAGAAAGCGAAATTGCTCCTCTTTCGAACAATGCAATTTCTGTTCTCGTACGATGTATACTTTGAAAGATATATGCATTTAAAACAACACCACTTGAAATTGCTAATTTTTGACAGGATGGGAGTGGGTTAAGAAAAATAAAGGCTCCGCTTGCTTGAGATTATTTGTCTCAGCTCTGGCAGATAACCATATTTTTTACCTTTGATAATTATAGATATCATAGTCAATCATCAAATGTGTCTCATTTTTTAGTTACTAAAACACATGACAAGGAATGCATAATCATAGCATAACCCAAGTATTACTATTAGTGAGGACACTAACTTTGTAAATCCCCCCATGGTAACTGGAAATGAAGTGAAAGGTATTGTGAAGCAGGCATCTTTTTAGTGTAAAGTTTACACCATTGTGATGAGTGGGGAAAATTCACACGAATCATTCAGTCATAGGGTAAACTTTCCGGGGGGTGTATACGATTTATGTTTGTAGTAATTTATTGTACTTAGTGCTTTGAAGGTTATTTAGGCAATTTCTGTTGTGTTCTTTAAATATCTGTTAGGCCTTTTGTCAAGTTCACAAAAATTTCGAGGAGTCGTTGTCGTTATTGCAAATTTTATAACATTCGCTTCTCGTGTTGTGTAAAGGATCTTTCCCCTGGAACACACGATTTTTTATTTAGCAGTGCAAATGCACATGTGCTGTCAAGCCGTAGATCAACAATGGCATGACTATGCTTCAAAGGAGCGACACAGTGTTGTTTTCAAATATATAAATATTTTAGACATTAATATAATTTTACTTATATTAATGATATCTACGCAATATATAAATTGATGTTGTGCATTACGAGCATTCAATGAAGTATCAATATTATTTTATAAACGGTATATTCATTATACAGAGCTGGGAAGGAGCTAGACAGTGCTTTTTTCAAATGTATTCAACTTCCAGGTAAGTCTCGTTTAATTGTAAAATTCTATTTTGTCATCAGCTACATCACTACGGAGTCACATGAGATTTCAAAGTTCTACACACACAAACTAATAAACAAGTATTTAATAAATCTTAACAATAATAGCTTGATCCATTGGTGTTAACAGTTTTAAAGTGATAAATTTAGTTGGGGCGAGCCTGAGCGAGCCTCACAGTTTGGTGGCTCATCAAGCTCAAGCGCAAGTTATTATGGTTGGTTGTAAGTTCGTTCGTTCGTACGTACAC